TAATCCATTTTTCCCTAATAAAGAACTCTATTCTCAGATTTCTTAATAAAGGAAAAGCTTGAATGACTACTAACTACTGAATACAAAGTATTATGGTCTAACCTCTGTGCTGCCATACAAATTCAATATTGAAGTCCGAGGAAGTAACTCTAAAAGCATCTTGCATAAGGGAAGGTGCAAGACTTCCCCACTTAGGATTAATAATTTCAAAGAACCTTGAATTGTTAAGGAATGTGGACTCTGCAAAGCTGGAAGAACTGCCCTCATCAAAGATGGAACAGCTACAAGCCTGTTAATAAAGTATCCCTGGGAAGAAAAAAATCAGAGAAGACTAAGTGACGGACAAAGTCCCCACTGACTGAAAGATATGCACAATATAACTGTTCAGGTAATAATTAAAAATGCAATGATTCATAACTTTTTAAATACTACATTTCTCACCAAAACCCAGCACGTCAAAGACTCAGAATGTAGTTTTACATTTGGGATGGAGGAAGCACAACTGAGAGCAGAGAGCTAAAAAAATTATCTGGAATCAATCATGTGATTGTAATTAAATAGATGTTAAAATGTGTAATGTTTAATTAATGAATGCTTCAAAAGATATTTAGGTTTTAGCCCACAGAAGTAAAACCCAAAAAAATATGAGCCTACTGTTAGGTAAGCACTTGGCAAAATATTATAAATATAGCTTCAAGATGAGCTCAAGTGGTGCCACTGGCACCATTGAGTTCCATCAATAAGCATTGTGAATAAATTCTAAAATGGATGGTGACCACAACTAGCTATGCAAACAAGGGAAAAAAAAGGTGTATTAACACTAAAAACACAATTTAAACTTCTTCTAAACTTCCCAATGCTGACTCCAGAACCACATTAACATAGAATATTTAGAAAATTTAAGCCTCGGCATCCTTAATAAATTAGAAACAAATTTAGTACCCAATGTTCTTGAAATATCATCATGTCGATGTTGGCAGTTGGAAATACCATTTATACACATTAAACTCATTTCACAGTTCTAAAGAATATTTACTGTGAACATTGCAGAAGGCTACAATCAACTGGCACAACTAGAAGAGACATAAAAACATCGTTCCAAGCCAATAACTTGCTAATTATATTTGGTCAGGTAGAATCAATGCATGAGCAAAAAAAAAAAAAAAAAAATAAATAAATAAAAAATAAAAAAAAATGGCAAAAATGGCAAAAATGATTTATTTGAATAAATAATGAGAACAGTTGAATTGATTCTCATAATAAGAAAGAACAATATTGTTTGACACTTTGACTCACTCCACAACTTTTTTGTTTTTCATGTACCTGTAAAAAATCTACGACACTATACACATTTTCTTTTAGCTGATTGAAAGGAGGTATCACCAACGTACAAGTCGAGAGTAGAGCTCCAAGAAACTCTTGCATATGATCGATAAAGCCTACAGCTGTTTTGAAAAGCACTACATCCCCTTCATGTAGAGGATACATTTCTTGCATCCATGAAAAACGATTTAGAAGACCTACAATAGAAATATGCTGGCCTAAGAACACTGTCATGATTGAGAAATCAGAAACGTGAATTTTGGAAGGGTAGATAGATGAGGACTAGTCGTATTGAGGCACAGAAATCATATGAAATATCAAGCTTGATGGTAATGAAACTGAACCGATATGTCACCTGTTTCAGTGCCACATACACCTTTAGGCTTTCCGCTAGATCCTGAAGTGCACATCAAGTAACAAAACGATCTCAAGCTTTCACTTTCACAAGGCCACCGTAATAGTAATGACTCAGATTGTTCTTTGATAGTTTCATTCATAGAAAAACGTAAAACAGGACAACTTCCATCATCAATAAGCCATTTCAGATTATCAATCTTGTGACAACAGTTCCCCTCAGATGACAGTTCAATCCCAACGACTAGATCAGCTTTTGTAGATGATATAACTGATAGTATCCTTGATTTTGGCCACGAGGGATCCAAAGGCATGAATGATTCCCCACATCTCAAAACAGAAAGGACGGCCACAATGTAATCGATAGATGGCTCCATATATATCCCTACCACCTTCGGGATGCGAGATTTTCTGAACTTGGAGGAATGCTGTACGCTTGGACTTGAATATTGCAACGATTTAGCGACATGTTCCGAGTTATCCCGAAAATCGTTAACTGCAAAAGTAAAAGATCTAACTAACTGAAAGGGAAGAATAACAAACATTAAATGTCATATGTACTGCATATTTTTACCATTCATGAAAAATGCGCATACCGCCAAAGAACTCAAAATACATCAGACTGACATTATCAGGTTTGAAGACAACAACAATTTTGCCTGGTCAAGTTCGGCAGTCACGCTGCTTATCAAGAGAGCAAAAACTACTTTCATACTTTCAATTGAAAAATTAATTAGAGATGAGGATATATTATCGAATTAGTTTTTCTGGAACCAGAATCATTTAGCAGCACGTCACTTCTTCTGATTTTTCTATACCGTCCCCAAAGTGTAACTCTCTCTTCTTCAGTTCTTCCTCACTAATATTATTTCAGTTCAGTAGTAAATTCTCTTACATTCTTCGAAAAAGCTTGTAATAATCTATACACCACAGTAAGCTACTATCCGTAAACAGAACACCCCCACCAGGTAACGCATTAATTTAATATGCATATGTATAAAGAAAAAAAAACAAAAACAAATCCAAGCTGCACTATTAGTTGTTTCCCAGCTATCATGTTTTCACAATTCCGACGCAAAATTCTTCTTCACATAGCACCGTAGTGACTACAAAAACAACCATGAAACGTATTTCAAAGTACAATTAACAAAACGAACAAAGAATTCCTACCTAGCTCGGTTTTAAACATATATGGATCATCGGCGCCGTGAAGAATGCGCCATAGTCGACAACTGAGCTTCTCGACGGCGGAGTTAATAGCATAGAAAGTGAAGCACTCGTCTCCTTCGTAGACTGGTGGCCGGGACGAAGACGCCGTCAATTTGCTACAGCCGTCACGTGACCGTCGATCGCCGTCCAACGAATCCACGGTGGTCCGAGCAAATCCGGAGGCGTGTATGACGGCGATTTTATGGGGATGTTTCAAGGCGGCTTTGTAAAACTCGTGCGATATGCAACAGGCTGCCAGCTTGCGCTCAGCCGCGTCGACGGCCATGAGCTCAGAGAGGGCTTTGTGCAGCTTGAGGAAAGCTTCCGAATCCGTGGTGGAGCAAAATATAACCCGATTTCAAAATGAGGCATATTTGGATTTTGGATGACCCGCGCAGTTTTATATTTTAAGTTTTAGGATTAATTAATAAATAAATATAAATTTCCTCGGTTGTCTCATTTCATTTTCTAGATATTTTTCATTTGTTCAAACAAAAGAGGGTGAATGGGTGATGGGTAAAATGTAAAATAAATTCATTTTGTTTTCTAGGACTTAAAAAGAGAATAGAGAAGTGAAATAGGTATTAGCTTATTTGACCAAAAATGAGAGGAGAAAAGGTAAAGTATGAATTCTCTTAAAGGGAGAAAATATTTTAAATAATAAGAACAAAATATTAATCCTCCCTCCAAAACCCCATACATACTTGCATTGTATTTTGAATAATTTAATATGATGTTAAATTTATATATCAACGAATTAGAACATCTGCAATGGGCGATAAATCCCTCAGTTAAATGTCTAAAAGTGTGTTTGTCAAATAATTTACTCAAACCAAATTAATTCATACTCAAAATCTAACTCAATTTTAACTCAACTTCACTATCATCAATAATATCAATATAATTAAACAATAACAACCAATCCTTAAATAATAGCAACCAACTATTTTTACACATGGTATCAACGTAATTCACTATTCATCCACTCACATAATTTTAACTAATAATCACTTCATATCATCTCTCTCCTACTTTTGCATCAGACCGTGAAACAACCATTAACCTTAAAATGTAAAAAAGACACAAGCCATTCTGACTAGAAAAAACGTCCGAATTCGACAACATAAGGCATTCATTCCTAAGGGGATTCCTAACAAACGCGTTGAACGATTCATAATAGGTTGTCATAGTCGGATTGCGTGCATTCCTCTTGAAAGGCTTCATTGAGTTATACTTTAGCATTGTGCATTATGTCTAAGGGTGCAAATGAGCTGAGTCGAATTCTAGTGCTTAACGAGCTGAAATCGATTCGGTTCAAGCTGGAGCTCAACTCGTTTATTAATATTAATGAGCTCAACTGATGTCTTGATAACGAGCCAAACTATTAAAAAAATATAAGTATTATAATAATCCTTTCAAAAATTAACGAGTCTTGCCAAACTGAGTTTACGAGCACGCCGTTTCATTTGACATGTCTAATTGTGCCATTGTAGAAAAGAGCTTAATTCAAGGAAATTTATGTAAAATGGAGAGATTAAAACCGAAATCTTAAATCGCCATTAATCTGAGCTTTAAGCTTTGTAAAACTTCTGGAAAAGATGAAGATCCCTATTCTCATCTATAAAACCCGTACGTCCCATAATAACCAATAAAGGACTAACACGTGTCCCAGTAAGGAGCTGAAGAAATAAGAGAATATAAAACACGCCCTTACAAGTATGAAACGAGACTTAAGCTATTAAAGCTAAAACTGAAAAACAAAGAAAAGAAAATGAATAACAGCATGCGGACGTCACAATTCCAACACGCTCCCCTCAAGCGGGAATGGGAACAATCATGCGCATTCCCACCTTGAAAAGAAAACGTCGAAAGTCAGGACCTCCCAAGGACTTGGTGAAGAGATCAGCCGGCTGGAGGGAGGAAGAGATGTGTTTAGGCAGAATAAAACCTTCCTTGTACTTGTTGCGGACCACGTGGCAATCAATGTCCAAGTGTTTGGTGCGCTCGTGAAAAACGGGGTTGGCCGTAATATGAAGAGCGGCATGGTTGTCACACCAGAGAGATATAGGAGTGGAAATGTGAATGGACAGATCCTTTGCCAAAAATGTAAGCCATTGAAGTTCACACACAGTGCTTGCCATGGACCGATATTCAGCTTCTGCTGACGAGCGAGAGACGGTTTTTTGCTTCTTGGTCTTCCAAGAAATTAGTGCTTGCCCCAGAAATATACAGTATCCAGTGAGAGACTTTCTAGTAAGTGCACAATTGCCCCAATCAGCATCACAAAAGGCCTCCAAGTGATGTGTAGGTGTGGCAGTGTAGTGAAGTCCCATATGTGGAGTTCCTTTGAGATATTTCACCAAGTGTAAAGCTGCTTCCCAATGAGCCTGAGAGGGTGCTTGCACAAATTGGCTAAGTTGTTGTATGGCATAAGAAAGATCAGCTCGAGATAAGTTCAAATAAAGTAGTCTGCCTATAAGCCTTCTGTAACTCTCAGGAGAGCTGTGTGGTGGAGAATTCAAAGAAGATAAGTTCAATCCTTGAGGTAGAGGTGTCACAACAGGTTTGGAATTCTGCAGTCCCAAATCACTCACAATGTCAAGTATGTATTTTCTCTGATGCAAAAATGTACCATGATCAGTTTTAAGGATTTCCAAACCCAAGAAATATTTGGCCTGCCCTAAGTCTTTAATAGTGAAAAGACCATCAAGAAAAGTCTTAAGATGTGAGATCTCTGTCAGTGAACTCCCAGTAATCAAAACATCATCAACATAAATGAGGAGAATTAGTAAGTTGTCACATGAACCCTTAAAAAACAGGCAGTGGTCATGAGGTGATTGTGTAAACCCATAAGAAATAAGTTTTTCAGAGAACTCAATATTCCACTGTCTACTTGCTTGTTTCAGCCCATAGAGACTTCTCTTAAGCAGGCATACCTCACCCACCTTAGCTTTCAAATACCCTTTTGGAGGGTGCATGTAAACTTCCTCATCCAAAAATCCATGAAGAAAATCATTGTTGATGTCAATATGGTGTAACTCCCATTTGTTTTGTGTAGCCAAAGCAATCAACAATCTCACAGAAACCAGCTTGGCCACAGGAGAAAAGCTATCAAAAAAAATCTACTCCCTCTCTTTGCAAAAAGCCTTTTGCAACTAGTCTAGCCTTGAACTTGTCAATGGAACCATTTGGGTGTCTCTTGATCTTGTACACCCACTTAGAGCCAATGGCCTTTTTTCCAGGTGGTAGCTTTGTGAGAATCCATGTGTGATTTGATTCCAAAGCATCTAGCTCTTTATGCATAGCATCTATCCAGTTTTGATCACCAATGGCCTGCTCATAGAACAATGGTTCTGTGGCTGTGGTATTAACTTCAGAGAAGAACAAATGTGTATCCTCAGTTTCTTGCACTTCAACTACATAGTCAGACATCCAAGTAGGTGGCTTTCTTATTCTGCTACCCCTCCTCACTGCATCCTTATTAGCAATAAAATTTGGTGTTTCTTGCAAGAGGTCATGTGTTGTGTCTTCTGTTTCCTCAGCATCAGTCATAATTGGTAAAGGAAGTACTTGTGTGTTGGTGCTTGGAGTTCCCTCATGAAATGGAAACTTAGTTTCATAGAAAACCACATCTCTGCTGATAAAAACTTCCTTTGTGTCCAGATTATACACCTTATATCCCTTAGTACCTGAAACATAACCCAAAAAAGCACAAGCTGCAGCCTTTTCATCAAATTTCCTTCTGTGGGGTCCAAGCTTGCTAGCATAACACAGGCAGCCAAATGTTCTAAACATAGCATAAGTTGGTGTTCTTCCATGCAGTAGTTCATAGGGGCTTTTCCATCCCAATCTCTCACTTGGCAAAGTGTTAATTATTTGTACTGCTGCTAACAAACTGTAGGGCCAAAGCTTCCTTGGCAATTCTGCCTGAAAATATATAGATCTTGCTACTTCCAAAATAGACCTATGCTTCCTTTCCACAACTCCATTTTGTTGTGGAGTATAGAGGCAGGTCCTTTGATGTAGTATTCCATTTTTCTTCAACAATGCGTCCATTTCCTTGTTTACAAACTCACTGCCATTATCACTTCTCATTTGCTTGACTTTAATCCCAAATTGCACCTCTATCATTTTGAAAAAGGATTTCAGCACCGTGTGAACCTCACTCTTGTATTTCATCAAGTATATCCAGGTTGCTCTAGTGTTGTCATCAACAATTGTTAGCATGTAAGACAAATTGAGCATTCTCTCTTCACTGTGTGGCCCCCATACATCCACATGTATTAAGTCAAACTTGTCCTTGCTTTGTATTTGACTGATAGGAAAAGGTAATTTGTTTTGTTTTGATCTGTGACATACATCACAAGGGGTCACTCCCTGGTCATCATAGTTGCCCTTCAAGAAATGTAGGTGTTTTAGGCTTTGCATAGAGCTGTGCCCAAGCCTCTTATGCCAAAGAACTAAGTCTTCTTTCTGTGAACTCTCTTTATCAACTGCATTTACCAAGACTTCTTGTGATTCAATCACATATAGACCTGCCACTGCCTTTCCCAAGGCTATAGTTGAGTTTGTTTTGAGATCTGTCAGCTTGCAGTCCTTGTCAGTGAAAACAAAAAACATCTCATTGTCTTCCACGAGTTGTCCCACAGACAATAGATTATACTTAAATTCAGGAATTAGCAAAACACCCTTAAGAGTAATATGGTCATTGAAATTAACTTCACCAGTCTGAGTAACCTTTACTCTTGTACCATCAGGTAGATTCACAGTAATAGGTGTTTGTGAGACCACCCTTTTTGTCATCATTTCTGCCTCACAACAGATGTGTTTGCTTGCACCCGTGTCAACAATCCAACTGCATTTGTTGAGTCTCCCAGCCAATGAAAAAGCATAGTCTTCTTGTTCCACAAAGTGAGAGTAAGTGTTGGTTTCTGCCTCTTGTTGTCCTGCCATGTACTTTGGAACCTCTTTCTGAATTAACAAGCTTATATCAGGAACATTATCACCATGCTGAGATTTCCCTTCTGAATCTCCCTTTGAGGAATCATCATTCTCAGCCATGTTTACACTTTGAGATTGTCTTTGTTCTCTCAGCTCCTTGTACCAATCTGGATATCCATTTAATTTGAAGCAACCCTGAATATCATGCCCATTGTATCCACAGTGTGTGCATACTAGCTTGGCCCTCTCTTCCTTGGACAATCTTGGACCACCTCTTCCTCTACCAACACTAAAACTTTGACTGCCAAACCCTCTTCCACTATTACCTCTGCCAAAAGGTTGTCCCCTGCCAGTATTTCCTCTCCCAAAGCTGCCTTTAACAAACATAGCTGAAGTCTCCATTTGGTTTGGCATTCTCATGTAAACATTTTTCTGTTTCTCAACTTTCAATATCATTGAGTAAGCCTTGTTTATGGTAGGCAAATGATCAAACAACAATATTTGGTTCTTTACTGGTTCAAAAATCTCATTTAACCCCATGAGGAATTGCATCAGTTTAATCTACATATCATTATCACTGAACTTTTTCCCAGATCCACACACATAATCAGGTATGGAAATCAAGGAGGAGTACTCATCCCACAAACACTTCAACTTAGTATAATAGGCAGTCACAGTAAGATTTCCTTGAGTGAAATTTGCTATTTCTTTCTGTAACTGATACCTCAACGGACCATTACGTACCATATCTTTAAGATAGTTCATCCCAGAGTTGTTTAGCATTTTTCACATAAATGAAAGCTTCTACGATGTCTTTGGAAATAAAGTTAAGTAACCAGGAGATTACCATGGATTCTACCTTTTGGTACTGAACGTATTCCTCTGAGCCTGGTTCTGGAACTACCACTGTGCCATCAATGAATCCAAGCTTCGATTTCGCGCTGAGAGCTAACTTTATTGCGGGGCTCCAATGTGAGTAGTTCGATCCTGTGAGCTGGTTAGTAACAAGGACCATACCAGGTGTATCTGATCCATGGAGCGAAAGCGGATCTACATCTCGAGTATAGATGCCTCTTCCAATGATTTCACGACTTCGTTCATGCGCCATTTTCTAACCTGCTCTAGATACCATGTAGAAAAAAGCTTAATTCAAGGAAATTTATGTAAAATGGAAAGATTAAAACCGAAATCTTAAATCGCCATTAATCTGAGCTTTAAGCTCTGTAAAACTTCTGGAAAAGATGAAGATTCCTATTCTCATCTATAATACCCGTACGTCCCATAATAACCAATAAAGGACTAACACGTATCCCAGTAAGGAGCTGAAGAAATAAGAGAATATAAAACACGCCCTTACAAGTATGAAACGCGACTTAAGCTATTAAAGCTAAAACTGAAAAACAAAGAAAAGAAAATGAATAACAGCATGCGGACGTCACAATTCCAACAGCCATGCCCATGCAGATATAGCTCTTTAAGTCTAATGATCGCTTTGACGCTGCATACTCGGGTGCACCATCCACATCGTTGAAAGTATAAGGATCCACAGATTATTATGTATTACTAGCTGGAACTGCTTTACTCATTGGCCGTGGCACTAAACCTTGTTAAATCAGATGATGGCCATTCATTTTTTGACAAGCCTAAAACAAAATTACACATAGATCTGCTGCCGAATCAATCAATCACGTAATCGAATTTCTTTTGTTTGTTTGTAACTTTGCATTGACAAATAAATATAGACAAACACTTTACAGAGTTCCAACGAGTTTTGAATCTCATCTCATCACAAATTCACAATCAATGAGGGGTCGAGACCGATCTCTTCATCTCAATAAGTGAACCCTCGTCTCCGTTTTCCCCGCCGACTCGCGGTAACGCGCCCAACGAGGCCGACCGCCCGAGCCTGCCCGGCCCCACGTCCGCCCCTGCCGGGACCACAGGGAGGGCCACGTGGGCCGGGCGGCGGCAGTCACGCGGGTCCACGCCGGCGCGGCACAGGGGGCAGCTGGGGTGGGATCTGAGCCACGTGTCAATGCAGGGCAGGTGGAACGCGTGGCCGCATTTTGGCAGGAGCCTCAGGGCCGCGTTCTCCTCGAACCCGCCGAGGCAGACCGCGCACTCGGCGGCGGCGCCGCCGCCCTTCTTGTACTTGAAGACCGCGATGGCCCGGATGAGCGACTCGTCCAGCCCGGTCCGGGCACGAACGCCGGGTGACCCGTCAGTCTCTTCACTCCCGGCGTGTACGGCGGCGTCCGCCCGCTGCCGCCGCTTGCAGTAGCGGGTGACGACGGTGTAGTAGCCGACGAGGAGGAAGGCGCCTGCGAGGATGCCGATTAGGGCAATGATGATTGGGGAAAAGGGGTTGGGGTCGTCGTCGTCCGGCGAGGGCTCTGAGGGCGGGGGGAAGAAGAAGTAGCAGAATTGAGGGCAGGAGACGGTGCAGAGGCCATGGGAACAGTCTCTGTCGTTGTTGTTGCTGTTGATGTATGGCGACCATGGATTTTGATTATTACCAACAGAGCCCATGTGTGTGTGTGTGTGTGAATAACTTTTTTTTTTTTTTT